AACGATGTACATCTCAGTCTGGCAGGTTTTATTTGACCTTGACCTCGTTTTCACGGTTCATTGCTCAATGTTAGGTTTTTGTGTTTTGCTTTGTTTTTTCTAATACTGTATGCAAAAGGTCAACTATATTTGCTGTATGGAAATATTTTATGATGTACATGTCCAACTGGCAGGTGTCATCTGACCTTGACCTTATTTTCATGGTTCATTGGTTACAGTTTATTTTTTGTGTTTTGGTTTGTTTTTCTAATACTGTACGCAATAGGTCAACTATATTTGGTGTATGGAAATATTTTACGATGTACATGTCAGCCTGGCAGGTTTCTTTTGACCTTGACCTCATTTTCACAGTTCATTGTTCAATGTTAAGTTTTTGTGTTTTGGTCTGTTTTTTCTAATACTGTACGCAATAGGTCAACTATATTTGGTGTATGGAAATATTTTACGATGTATATGTCAGTCTGGCAGGTTTCTTTTGACCTTGACCTCATTTTCACAGTTTATTGTTCAATGTTAAGTTTTTGTGTTTTGGTCTGTTTTTTCTAATATTGTATGCAAAAGGTCAACTATATTTGCTGTATGGAAATATTTTATGATGTACATGTCAGTCTGGCAGGTTTCTTTTGACCTTGACCTTATTTTCATGGTTCATTGCTTATGTTAAGTATTTGTGTTTTGGTCTGTTTTTCTTAAACTTTAAGCAATAGGTCAACTATATTTGGTGTATGGAATGATCGTAAGGTGTATATGTCTGTCTGGCAGGAATCATCTGACCTTGACCTCATTTTCATGGTTCATTGGTCAATGTTCAGTTTTCCTGGTTAACTTTGTTTCTTAAATACTACTGTATAAGCAATAGGTCAACTATATTTGATGCATGGAATGATTTGAAGGTATACATGTCTGTCCGGCAGGGTTCATCTGACCTTGACTTCATTTTCATTGTTCATTGGACAATATAGAATTTCCATGGTTTGGTCTGTTTCTTTTATACTATAAGCAAAAGGTCATCTATGTTCTGTGCATGGAATGATTGTACTAAAAGTTTGGTTTATCTGACCCTGACCTCATTTTCTTGGATCATAAATGCTAATGTGATACTTGTAGTAAAACTTTATATGTAGGACTATCAACATAGAATCAATGGTCAGTATAGTAGGCGAGACATTTCAGCATGTGCACTCTTGTTTATGTAATTTAGGTAACCAATACATAATAGGGACCTTCAAACGTTCAGAAGATGCCTTAAGCTGTGATTTGTTTATGGTATGTTTGTTTACTATATGAGTCTCTGTGGAGCGTACGGACTTGAATGTAGATAAATTTAAAATTTCATTCTTATGAACGTCCGTGTAGTATTTACGGCATTCCACCACTTCATTGTTGACTGCTTTGTCGGCCGGTACAAACACAAACCGCTTTGAAATTTCTTGAAGTTTATTTCTTATTCTAGAAATAGGCATAGTATGTACTTTTTTATTTATTTCTGAATTATTTTCAAAATGTGATATTCGAATGTCCACAACATTCATACATTTATTTATATAAGAATAAAGATATTTTTTATCAGATTTTTTCCCGTTAACACCATTTTTTACAATACGAGGAAAGAGCGTCTTTTGTGACCTGAAGACACTGTTTCCAATCTATTTTAGATAGAGGACGATATTTTGGTCCTTTTTTCAAAAAGTTTTAAACCTCTCCGTCTTGGACGATATTGAGGTCCCCCGTTTTAACATGGTCATAGAGATCATATCTAAACTTCGACGATTCACAGTTTCAAGTTAGAGGAGTATTATTTTCTACATTGATTAGACTGCATGAAATCCACACAACTAACACTCATTATTAAGACTATATGAACTCCACATGACCAAATGTCCTCACTGAGATTGCATGAACTCCACATGGCCAACACTTATCATCAAGACTATGAACTCCACAACATCAACTCTCCACACTGATACTCTGCATGAACTGCACATAACCAAATGTCCTCACTGAGACTGCATGAACTCCACATGACCAACACTCCTCTTTGATACTGCATGAACTCCACATGACCAACACTCCTCTTTGAGACTGCATGAACTCTGCATGACCAACATTCCTCTTTTAGACTGCATGAACTCCACATGACCAACACTCCTCTTTGAGACTGCATGAACTCCACATGACCAACACTCCTCTTTGAGACTGCATGAACTCCACATGACCAACACTTCTCTTTGAGACTGCATGAACTCAACATGACCAATACTCCTCTTTGAGACTGCATGAACTCCACATGACCAACACTCTTCTTTGAGATTGCTTGAACTCCACATGACCAAATGTCCTCTTTGAGACTGGATGAACTCTACATGACCAACACTCAACTTTGAGACTGTATGAACACCACTTGACCAACACTCATCATTGAGACTGTATGAACTCTACATGACCAACACTCCTCTTTGAGACTGCATGAACTCCACATGACCAACACTTCTCTTTGAGACTGCATGAACTCAACATGACCAATACTCCTCTTTGAGACTGCATGAACTCCACATGACCAACACTCCTCTTTGAGACTGCATGAACTCTGCATGACCAACATTCCTCTTTGAGACTGCATGAACTCCACATGACCAACACTCCTCTTTGAGACTGCATGAACTCCACATGACCAACACTCCTCTTTGAGACTGCATGAACTCCACATGACCAACACTCCTCTTTGAGACTGCATGAACTCCACATGACCAACACTTCTCTTTGAGACTGCATGAACTCAACATGACCAATACTCCTCTTTGAGACTGCATGAACTCCACATGACCAACACTCTTCTTTGAGATTGCTTGAACTCCACATGACCAAATGTCCTCTTTGAGACTGGATGAACTCTACATGACCAACACTCCACTTTTAGACTGTATGAACACCACTTGACCAACACTCATCATTGAGACTGTATGAACTCTACATGACCAACACTCCTCTTTGAGACTGTATGAACACCACTTGACCAACACTCATCATTGAGACTCTATGAACACCATATTCCTTGTGGTTTCCACACATAGATTGTTAATAAATTTGAGTTCGAAAGAAAATGAACACATATAAGCATGAGAGTAATGTTTAGAATTTAATAGTTAAGATATCATGTTTCCATGACCCTTCTATTACTTGTGGGTATTTAACCACCTTGATTATTCATGGAGTCTCGCACAATCTGAATACATCACTCAAGCATGCTTTTGTGTTCGAGAATCCTCAGTTTTTACATTTTTATCCAGCGTAATGGTCTTTATGTATGAATAAGAGAAAATGTTGGGTATACAACAGAGATAACAACCCTGCCACACAACAATAACCGTAATTGACTTCAACAATAGACAGATGTCTATAGGCAATATGTCAACGTCTAAGGGGGAACATACAGTCTTCAACAATAGACCGATGTCTATAGACAATATTTCAACATATATGGGGGAACATACAGTCTTCAACAATAGACCGATGTCTATAGACAATATGTCAACATATATGGGGGAACATACAGTCTTCAACAATAGACCGATGTCTAGACACTATGTCAACATCTATAGGGGAACATACAGTCTTCAACAATAGACAGATGTCTATAGACACTATGTCAACATCTATGGGGGAACATACAGTCTTCAACAATAGACCGATGTCTATAGACACTATGTCAACATCTATAGGGGAACATACAGTCTTCAACAATAGGCAGATGTCTATATACAATATGTCAACATATATGGGGGAACATACAGTCTTCCACAATAGACGGATGTCTATAGACACTATGTCAACATCTATAGGGAAACATACAGTCTTCAACAACAGACAGATGTCTATAGATACTATGCCAACATCTATATATATAGGGGAACATACAGTCTTCAACAATAGACCGATGTCTATAGATACTATGCCAACATCTATAGGGGAACCTACAGTCTTCAACAATAGGCAGATGTCTATAGATACAATATGTCAACATATATGGGAGAACAAACAGTCTTCAACAATAGACATATGTCTTTATAATTTGTCAACTTCTATGGGGAACATACATTCTTCAACAATAGATAAATGTCTATAGATACAATCTAGCAATATCTATGGGGTACAAACAGTCTTCAACAATAGACGGATATCTATACATACAATATGTCAACATATATGGGGGAAAATACAGTCTTCAACAATAGACAGATGTCTATAGATACAATATGTCAACATCTATAGGGGAACATACAGTCTTCAACAATAGACCGGTGTCTATACAATATGTCAACATATATGGGGGAACAAACATTGTTCAATAATAGACAATAGACCGTCTATACAATATGTCAACATATATAGAACATACATTGTTCAACAATAGACAGATGTCTGTACAATATGTCAACATATATGGGGGAACATACATTGTTCAACAATAGACGGATGTCTATACAATATGTCAACATATATGGGGGAACATACATTGTTCAAAAATAGACGGATGTCTATACAATATGTCAACATCTATGGGGGAACATACATTGTTCAAAAATAGACGGATGTCTATACAATATGTCAACATATATGGGGGAACATACATTGTTCAAAAATAGACGGATGTCTATACAATATGTCAACATCTAAATAATCTGAAGTCTATAAAGTTTGTGAATTAATTAAACAGAAACACCATACGAAAATACTTTTTGGCATCCTGTCTCAAAAATCTGTTTTAGGTAGCCTTGAGAACTGGCTTACTGCTCACGCTTGATTTAATTTAAACATATTTTATTGTCCAAAACATTGACAATAGGATCAGACACAAGTTTTGCAACTTAGAACGTCTTCTCTATTACATAAAAATAATAAATAACCGAACAAAATAAAATACATAATAATAACATCATAAACAATATTGATATGGAGACATGAAATGAACAAGAATTTAAACGACATGGCTCATCGATTTCTAAAAGTCGAGTTGACCGTAAATTTATTCATGATAGACCTAGCAGGCTGTTTTAATTTGGGAATACATATTCACTCTAAAGGTAAGTCTTTATTTTAAAGCTATTAAATTAGATTGTTGTTGTCAACTGATATGATGTTATATATAAAATCAAATGAATGATCCATGTCTTTGGGAAAATTGAACAATTTCATTCGAAGTCAACAAAAAGTAATTACACTATAAATGTTTATATATTTGACCATAATGTCTATACACTATGAAAAGCGATTGGTCTCCTTAATATAATTCTGCACTTTGGTGAAAATTAACGTGTTTATGTCCATATTATACATGTTATTACCGTAAATTAAAGTTTCCAAATCAGTAGGTATATTTTCTTTAGCAAAGATAGGGCTGGGATTCCAGCCTATAGTTGTAGGCCTTTTAGCGGAGAATGTTTAAATATTATTCAGATATTATGCATTTCCCTTATAATTATGAATATCAGATTAGACGATCAAGATTTAAATATGATAGAATATTTTTGATCTTCAAGGAAACATTTACTTGGGTGTTGCATTTAACTGAACACTACTTTCCAAAATCAAACTAAAAAAAAGAACTTTTTACAACTATAATTACAGTTTAAAAGGAGGCTCCCAAGAGCCTTAATCCCTCATCTGTCAAAAATTGAAAGACTTAAAACTCGAAAATTGGTCATAAAAGAGAGACGAAAGATATTAAAGGGATATTCAAACTCATAAGTCGAAAACAAATGTCATTGCAAAAAAAACAAAACAAAAACAAAAACAAAAAAAAAACAAAAATAAAAACGACAGACAAACAGTACACAAAACACAACATAGAAAATTAAAGACTGGGTGTGATTCCAGGTGCTCTGGATGAGTAAGCAAATCCTGATTCAAATTTGGCACCCATCGTGTAAGTACAAACCCTTTGATAAGTCTAATTCGGTAGGCCACATTCGAGAAAAGATCACGGGATTGTGGTTACGACAATTGGAACATATCATCTTTAAATAGAATCTTCGTAAATTCCTCCGCGTCACACGGTTGTTAACTGTAACTGAAAACCTTTAAAGTTAAATTTTAAATAATAATGTTTTAAAAGAAGTGGTAAGGGGATATCATATATTTACAGTGGGCCATTATTGATCTGTTTATTGTAGGTTAATATGAGACATTAGTTATACTTTAAACAAACTGAGTGCTAAAAGAATAAAACTAAGTAAAATTTCTCCTCAAAATTTACAGTGAATATTTACATCAGTGGTTTTAATTGCATCATTTATATAGTTTCCAATGTTACTGGCCAATGGCAAATACTACTTGCATTCTTGGTAAACACAGACGTAGTTTAACAAAAAAAGATGAACATGAGATAAAAAGAAGCATTGATGCTCTTTCGGATAATAAAATTTCAAATTTTAAAGTAATTCACAACCTAGAATTATCATGATAAGTTGTTAAAATAGTAACTTCTGCTAGTTTATACTTGATAGTGTCCTCATTCTGTGGCCCATATCTTAAATAGGATTTTCAACCCTTTTCTTGTATGTAAGTTTTAATATTAAATTTAGTAAAATTGAAAATAAACAATACAACCAGAAGAATTGGGGTAACATTACTTTATATAGTCTTAATCTTCTTTTGCATCAATATTTTCTGAGTATGGAGTCCTTAGCAGATACATCTACTAAGGTTTTTGATTTGAATTGCTGTCTCAGGACTAAAGTTTATTTCTTGAGCCAGTGTTCAACAGTCTACAATCATTTGGATAATTAATGTCTGGTTCCCTTTGAATATTTCAATCCATTTATTGTATACAGTGGATTCATTTATTTTCATGGGTACCAATTTTCGTGGTTTGAGGAAAACTTGCATATTCGTGGATATTTAATTTCGTGGTTTTGGCAAAGTCTGCATACGTTCCTTTAGAAAATTTGCAATTCGTTGAATATTTAAATTCGTGGTTCCCTTGTACCCACGAAATCCACGAAAATTGGTATCCAACGAATATTAATGAATCCACAGTACTATAGAATGTATGATGATTTTTTCAGCTACGGGATAAATTTGTGCTTTTTTTCGTGTAGTGCTGGGTACAAAGTGTTCTAAATTTTCTATTTCCAGATGACACAGAGTAGAGTTTGTTATTTTTTGTTCCCTTTTGAATTTCTGTATGTCGCATTCTAAAGGGTATGTGCCAGTGAGTGATCTAGCTTTGATTTGTGCCTTATTATTTAGTTCGTATGTAACTAATAATGTGTCCCATACCGTGTGATTCTGATGTATTTTGAGCTCTGTTTTTTGCAGAATTTAAGAGTGTCTTTTTTTTCATTGCGGCTATGGCTGTGTTGAATTGTTTCTTCCCTTAAATATTTTTTTTAAATTGAAATTTTGATGGAAGGCTTTTTATCAGCTCGTAAATCGGCATTAGATTATAATATTGTAGGATTTCTTGTACTCTTGGGAAGAAACTTTCTGAATTTGATTATTTTTTTTTTGGAGGTTTCAAATAATTGGCAATAAGAAATCCACCGCACTAAGTCAGCTCACTTTATTTTCAACAAACTGATAATCAAAACTTAAGGAGACTTATTAACAGCTATCTGTTAAATGTTATTATTTCTACCCATGATTCCATAGTTGGAAAACGAGACCTGGGAGGACCACCTATAGCGCTTCCAGTGTGAGCGCCCAGCTATATAGTACATGTCGTCCCCTATTAATGGACTTCTGATAAAAATACTTATATTCTTCAACATATAGTAAGTGATTGATACAAAAGCTCATTAAAGTTATAGATAAAATTGCCTGGAATACTATAGATGATCATTCTGTCTCGTGGTACTTGCGAGCCTCAAATTCAGCATTATAGATCTAAATGTAGGTCTGACTGAAAAAAATTCTTCCAACTTACTAACTGCCACAAGTATTTCATTTTATGTCTATGTCTGGTAAAAGAAATTTCTTCCAACGAACTAACAGATACAGATATTCTATTTTAGATCTGAATGTAGGTCTGATAGAAGAAATTTCTTCCAACGAACTAATAACCCACAAGTATTTCATTTTAGGTCTATGTCTGATAGAAGAATTTTTTCCAACGGATTAACTGCTTCAAGTATTTCATTGAAGGTTTGATAGAAGGAATTTCTTCCAACTTACTAACTGCCACAACCATTACATTTTAGGTCAGGTTTGATAAAGAAATTTCTTCCAACGAGCTAACAGCTACATGTGTTTCATTTTAGATCTAAATGTAGGTTTGATAGAAGAAATTTATTCCATCGAACTAACGGTTTAAATAGATTAAATATTTCATTTTAGGTTTAAATCTGATAGACGAAATTTCTTCTAACGACCTTATGGAACTCGAAGAAATTTTTTCCAACAAGCTAACTGCCATAAGTATCATATTTTAGGCCTTAGTCTGATGAAAGAAATTTCTTCCAATGAACTTACTGCTCCAATGATTTTATTTTGTATTGAATAAAAGAAATGTCTTCTATTAAACTGACTTCTCCATGTACTTCTTTTAAGGTCTGATCGAAGACATTTCTGACGTGGAATATTCTCATAGTTTAACACAAGTTTCTAATTTTATTTTTTCTTATAGAGAAGAAATTTCTTCTAATCATTGAAGTTATCAAAGACCGTTTAAAAAATTAGAAAACAGTTGATGCATTTGCACTTTTTGATAAATTATGAATTTTGCATATTTTAGTCTGCAAAGAGGACATTCCTGGATTTTCCTCTTTTATTTTGGACTGCCTTTGATAAGTGTAGCTTCAAGGACTTTACGTAAAAGGTAATTATTTTAATATTAGAGTGAGAGTGTTAAGTAGTAATTTTGCTTTTCAAAAATCAAAATATGAAGACAAGATACTGTAAAAAAAATTAACTATAATATGTTTCATTTATTTATACATTAAAAAACATTAGAAATTCAGTAAGAAAAACTAGAATTTTTAATTTTGAGTATTCATTCCCTAAAAGAACTGCAGATCGGATAGTCCTAATGCTACAATATATATAGTATTTGTAGCAAACGATACATCTTAAAAATTAAAATTAGCGCAAAAGGACTGCAGCCGTCATTTTTTTATATTATATTCGAAACGCTTAATTCTGACTTTCATATAATTGTTTTCATACATGTAAAATAAATGTTATGATGAAATTCGTGAGCATATTCTGTTAATTGAATTATTTTATTTTTAAATAGCATGTTATATCGTGTGATGCTATATAGTATTTGGCGCAAATGATACATCTTGAATAAAACAATTGGCGCAAAAGGACTGGAGTCGTCAGTATTGATTATATTCGAAACACTTAATTCTGACTTGTTTTTATTTGTTTTCATACAGTAAAATATATTTTCATTATACAGCTCGTGAGCATATTCTGTTTATTTTAATTATTTAATTTTTTAATTAATGGTAAAATACCTCTCGGATTTTAATATTTACTGTACATTGTATAATTACTTGATTTTGTCAGTTTACATTGGGTATTATTGGACAGTAATTTAACTTTCGCGTATTACATACAGCGACAATAGAATACAAATTATGTTTAAAATTGATCAGTTTGTTTAGAATATGTATTTGTTGTATATATGACGGTCTGAATGGGGTTTACAAAATAGAGAATAATGGCCGCTAAAAATGAAGAACAGAGAGAAATTGGTAGATAAAGAAAGAATAGAGAATAATGGGCCAAACGAAGAAAAAGTAAAGAAAAATAGCATATAAATTTAAAAATACAGAAATGACCCCTCCCCCCAAACCACCACCGCCCAGACCCTCATATCCCCTTTGTAGATCTGTATTAGTTCGAGTGTTAACCTGACAATAATATATGACTTTTTTACAAATCGAATTCCTCAATTGTGATAAAAAAATCGATGGCTTTCCTCAATCCAAATATTTCTATGCTAAAATCAAACTGAAGTAATATTCTATGTTTTAACCCTGTCAATGGATAATATTCTGCAAGATGTAACTGTGCCGGTTTGTGTTCGTACCGGCAGACAAAGCAGCAAATAATGTAATGGTGGAGTTAGCATATACTACACGGAAGTTCTCCAAAACGAGATTACAAATTCATCTACATGCAGGTCCGTACGCTCCACAGAGAGTCAAATTGTAAACAAGCATATCACTGCCAGTACCCAGCTTAAAGCCTCTTCCGAACATTTGAAAGTCCCTACTATGTACTGCTTACCTAAATTGCACAAAAAACCATTTAAATTTCGTTTCATCTCCGCAAATAGTAAGTGTTCTACTACCAATCTATCAGTGCTACCTCCCTTACTACTATCAAAGAACTTGTTATTAACCTTTGTAATAAAACTTATGAAAATAATGGTATTAATTATTTTTGGAGTGTTAAAAATTCTTTAGAGGTTTTAGATAAAATACATGCTTTTGATGGTCCTTTTAATTATGTTGACAGTTATGATTTTTCTACTCTCTATACTACACTTCCACACAATCTTATCAAGAAAAAGTTTTCATATCAAATTAATTGGTAGTTTGGTAAATCTCATTACACATTTATTTGCTGTAACTCGTTTAAAGCCTTTTTCTGTAACGAGGAAGGAAAGTATGCTAGATACACTTACTGGAAATGTGAAGATATGATTGAAGCTTTAAATTTTCTCCTGGACAACATATATGTACGTTTCGGCGATAAAGTGTATCGACAGGTAGTAGGTATTCCTATGGGCACTAACTGCGCCCCTTTAATAGCAGATTTATTCCTGTATTGCTATGAATTTCAGTTTATGACCAAACTAAGTAAAGACACGTCATTGTCACATTTGGTCGATACATTCAACAATACCTTCCGTTATCTAGATGATATTTTTTCGTTAAATAATTCAGAGTTCTCTAAATATACTTCCGAAATTTACCCAAAAGAACTTACTTTAACTAAATCTAACATAAACAGCAGTAGTTGTCCTTTTCTAGATTTGGACATTTCAATCTCTAAAGGAAAACTCCATACTTAAATTTACAACAAAAGAGACAACTTTTCATTCCCTATTGTTAATTTTCCTTTTTTAGACGGCGATGTTCCATTGGCTCCATCATACGGTGTTTATATATCCCAACTCGTTCGTTATGCCCGTGTTTGAAGTGATGTCATAGATTTTAAAGAACGTAATCAATGCATCACTGGTAAATTATTAAGTCAGGGATTTCGTTACCATAAATTACGTAAAACTTTTAATAAATTCTTTTATAGATACATTTGTACAAAGATTTGATTAGTAAATTTGGCTGTACCTGTAGAAAACTGATTAAAAACGGTATTTCACATCCTACATTTTACGGTAATATTGTACTTAAAGCGCGGAAACCACTATGTAATCATCGAACCTTTAAACAAACGTATTAGTAAAGGTTATCTTACCAATGTTGTAATTAGATCCTTGAATATAGTTTACATTATCACTAATATCGATTTTGTCATCAGCAAATTAAAACATAACTAAATTTGTATTCTTTTCAAACGGGATGTATAAAGACACGCCCACGTTCATTTTAATCTATAAAGAGGTTAACTTCTAACTATCCTACTGCCTATCGATACATTTATTTTTGACATTGCACAAGTCATGTATTCTTTGACTGTCCATGACGTAATAATTTTAGTCTCTGATACATAATTTTTTATCATTAATTGTTTTTGGCTTTTAACTAGCTGTCAGTAACTGCGAGTACTCTCAAATCGTACTTTCTTGTTTATTTGACCTGTTGATACTAATTGTAAAGTTTTTTTGTTATTTAATGTTATTCAGGATTATATCTGGTCTATATACCAGCTTTGATAAGTGTTTGGTAAAATACAAACTTTCACTTCGTACTATGAACATCAAAATTATTTATTTTATAAAATTTTCCCTTTCTCTATTTGAACTGTACACGCATACCTAACAACAAAATTATTTTCATTTACCTGTGTTTAAAGTAATTGCAAATGGCTGATATTTTTGTCAAGTATATTGTTTTTCTTAACTTTTACTGTACTTTTATTATTCTTCCCTTAGTTTATCTATTTTGTATTTACATTGTATCAGAGATCAAATTTATTTGTTCAGTGTATGTTCACTGGTGTTAATATGTCTTTTGATTGAGTTAAGCCATTTCAATTGATATTGTATAGTGTACGTGTCTTTCTATGTTGTGATGTTACACTATTGTTTCAGATTAGGGTGAAGGTTTGGTACCATTAAAACGTTTAAACCCGCTGCAATTGTTTGCACCTGTCCTAAGTCAGGAATCTGATGTTCAATAGTTGTCGTTTGTTGATGTGGTTCATAAGTGTTTCTCGTTTCTCGTTTTTTATATAGATTAGACCGTTGGTTTCTCCGTTTGAATGGTTTTACACTAGTAATTTTTGGGGCCCTTTATAGCTTGCTGTTCGGTGTGAGCCAAGGCTCCGTGTTGAAGACCGTACTTTGACCTATAATGGTTTACTTTTATAAATTTTGACTTGGATGGAGAGTTGTCTCATTGGCACTCATACCACATCTTCTTGTATATATGTAATTCAAATGGATAACCACGACGTTACCGAATTTGTACTTACCATGAGCAACACCATGGATGCCACTAGAGGCTCAGGATTGCCACCGAATTTGTGAATGTTTATTTAGTATATTCCGCCTCTTTTTGTATAATGTTCACCTTATTTTTTCAGATGAAGAGAAAGTCAACCTTGCTGATGAGAAAAATTTTAAAACTGAAAACGTCCAGGATTGTCACCGTATTTGTATGCTACTTAGTATTGATGCTAACAAATAATTTATATAAAGGTATGCAAAGTAACTTTAGCTGTGTAAATGAAATATTGTTCATCATTGACTAACTTTGGACGGTTGTTTTACATTTCTACAACAGCCAGACAGCACATCTCATAATGGCGTCGATTTTATTATTCTGGTCACGTGATTTTCAGTTCAATAAATGACATTATGACGCCACAAAATTGATGGCGTAAAGATATTTTATGTATTTACCATGCTTAACCAAATATATCATTTGATAAGGCAGTTTTCAAACTTTCACTACGATATTCTTTTAAGAATGAAAATGTAGAATTTCCTTGATTATTCGTTTGACAAAGACGAAAAAACGTGCCGCGGCCGTGACACTTCTCAGTAAATAAATGTAGATTGAAATGACACACGGAATGGTAACGTATTTTCCTTAAGAGGGATGATGCCTCATGATATTATGAACATGAAATGCCTATTGTTACCAAAACTCGCCAGGTAAACCGGCCATGTGTCAATTCAAAGTCGTTGAAGGGACGGCTGATCAGAAACGAGAGAATAAAGCATTTCGCTCAATTTTTGTAAGGGAAACAGTGTTTCTGGGGCATAATATCCAATAAAAGAGGGGCGAAAGATACCAGAGGGACAGTCAAACTCATAGATCGAAAATAAACTGACAATGCCATGGCTAAAAAATAAAAAGACAAACAGACAAATAATAATACACAAGACACAACATAGAAAAATAAAGACTAAGCAACACGAACCCCACCAAAACTGGGGGTGATCTGAGGTGCTCCGGAAGGGTAAGCAGATCCTGCTCTACTTGTGGCACCCGTCGTGTTGCTCATGTTATTACAAATCCGGTAAATAGTCTTATTCGGTAGGTCACATTCGTGGTGAAAAAGGAAGTGGATTGTAATTAAGACATAAGGAACATATCCGATATCATCTGTGAAACGGTTATTCCATAACGGTCAACCAACTCGTGATGGCGTCTGCAAAATATAGGAAGGGATGATTTCAATTTCAATTTGTCTTTTAGTTTGGAATGGGGAATACTTGTGTAAAGTGTAGAAAAGTCTTATGTTTTAATACTATTGCAAGATGAGAGAGTCTTAGATTGTATGTACTCTAAAAGATCTTTGGAATTTTTTAGTATCCACATCTGATTCACGCCACCTCTATAATAAGCAGTTTCACAATAACTTTGAAGCCCGGCTTTGATTGCGGATAAAATAGATGTTAATAATTTAGAAAGAGGTTTCGTGGAGCACTTGGAAGACCCATCAATATACCGTTGTTTGTAAGGACACTTATGTAGTTTAGGTATCCAATACAGTGATGGAAGATCCAGTTCTTCATCTATGGTTGAAATTCCAAAGGAACATAGAACAGACCTATGATTATCGAGGATTTCCTCTTTGGTAAGTGTCGTGAGGGTATATGTTGAGTTTCCAAGTGAATTGTCAATACCTAATTCACTTATCAAGCAGTTTATGTAATGAGATTTACACACAAAAACGATGTTGTTTTGGGCTTTATCTGCGGGGACAACAACATATTTGTCATGGAGGTAGGACAAGTGTTTTGCAACATTTTGGGTCTTTAAAGATTGACGTAGCATGGGTATTGATAGACCCATTTAGTTTCTTAATTCTGATTTGTATCAACGACCTCACAGCCTTAATCCATTCGGAAAGAGTATCTACGTCTTCTTTCTCGCGTTTAGTCCATTGCCTGGCATAATCCTCGACCGAATCCATCAGTATTTTGAAGTTGTATTTCCAATTGATGGATTTAGGCTAACGATATTTCGGACCTTTGGATAACACATTTCGCAGGGAAGTGTTATTGACAATGTTGAGGTCTCCGTTAATAACATGGCCAGCCGGATTCTATGTGAATTGGGAACTAGCACAGGTGCAATCGGGAGGTTTAGACTTGAAGTCGTCAATATTGAGATCCTGCAAAACGTGTTTGTAATTGAAAATTTTAGTTGCAGTTGGTTTGGTATACATGTAGGTATAGGTATAAGAAATTATTGGTACAGACGTTTCTTTAAAATAAGGAGGTATTTTCGACTGAACTAATTTATGATGAAAGATATTGCCTAAGTTGACGCCATCGACACCTTTGTTGACAAAGGAAATTTTAAGAAAAGATCTTTTCTCTTTTTCATCTTTTCCAATGCGAACTGGTTTGAAAAGTCTGTGACTTGCAATATCCGAAATGATAGCTGTAAGTTTGTATTGGTTTGAATGAGGGTTTTGTAACAGTGGTTTCCAAACATAAATTGAACAGAGAATGAAGTTTTGAAAGGGGTAATGAATAAAGTTTCGTGCGAATGTGATGAAAACCTAACGGCTTTTGTATAAATGGCAGCAAGTCATTAATAGAAACATCATGCAGAGTAGGTGATGTATAATGACGATGACCCGTATGGATAGTAAAATGTGTAAATATGAAAAATGTCATGGAAATTATAATTAATCATTGGAATGAGGGCACCTGTAAAGATCCAGGACCTAAGCAGTAAGAGAAAGTATTGCAGAATGTATATCTGCTTTGGTAAATCACTATTTAATATAAATATTCCTAAAAAAATTCTTATAATCATGTAGAAATCAGTGATATTGCTAGAGAAATTGCCAATTATTACATTCAATTTTTAAAAAATACATTGTTTTTGAACTTCAAAAGAAATAAAAAAAAGTATGTGGTAAAAAATATTTACATAAAATGAGGTGTTTTGGACCAGTAAATTATTAGAAAAAATATTGATCCCAAGTTTAAGGTGAAGCATTTCCAGCATTAAGGGGGTTGACATATTGCATGTTTACCTCTAGTTTGTCATACTTTGATATAAATAATTGTTTTAAGGCGTACATCTCCTTAGAAGAATCAAGTATTATTCTTGAATACACATAAATACTTCATTTTGATTCACCATTCAATGATTTAGATGAAAAAATATTTTATAAAGATTATGGGTATGAAATGTACTTCTTTTATATATTCTATTCTAGAGTAATATTTTTACAAAATTTCTTTTAAGACCCATTGTCAGTTATATCTGTGAACTAAAGTTGTTTTTTACATTCTAAATGGGTGTTACATATGTTTATGTATGCAATAATTAAGTAATCATGTATCTGAGGTCTAATGATGAACACTGAAATGTAACAGATTCAGATTCAGATTCAAAATTTTATTATAGTCCCACCACATACAAACATAAAATAAGATTCACAGAAATAATCATAAAACATTTAAAACATTTGCAATGTATGCACCAATCTTAAAAAGATTAATAAGAGACTTTTCAGACACAATATATACATATAAACATATTTTTACAAATTTACATTTAAAATTTACAGTGTCCATCTATACTAAATGAAAGTAAAACATTTGTTTTTTTAAGAACAAGTTAAACAAAATACTGTTTTTCTCAATAAAATATTGTTGCAGGTTTTGGCAACTACAGCAGCAACATTGTCGTTATTAAATAAAATATAAATTTTTCGCTATGTGATAATAGGTTAAAACGTTCATTAAAATGTATAGCTTCATGTATCATGATTTGTCTTAAATCTACATATAATGGGCATTTTAACGACTTAGAAATAAAAGGTCTCATGGCAAACGCAAAAACCGTAATCAACGTATTAAACATCGTATAAATTATACACTTGCTGATCTGTTATCTATAATAAAAAATAATGGCAGACATCAAGTATTATGCAAACTGGATCAGATACCAATAAGTAAATTATATGCTATTTTTCTGGAGTGTGATACAATTTCTTTTTTTAGCCCAATGTATGAATACACCCGTATTATTTCAGCCTTTTGTCATCATAGGCTATTTCCTAGTATCGATAAACCTGAAAATCATAAACGGCATTTTCTTAAATTAAAATATATAAATAGAGGTATTGATTTTATTAACTTATCTAGTATATTCAATGACTCTACCATCCAAAGCCAAATACCTCCATATTTTGATAATATAGAACCACCTATTATTTCGTATTCTTATAAAAAACCCAGCAGAAGTTTGATTTTTAATTATACGTCAGTTACATCAGACGTCAATTTAGAAAATAATGTTCCTTCCACTTGAGATTGTGAAACATCTAGTTTTAGATATGTTCCTTATGGTCATGTCCTTACAGGAGACCTCAACATCGTCGAAGACCGTGAGGTCATAAATTTTCTTAAGAAAGGACCGAAATATCGTCCTCCATCTAAAATAGATTGGAAACAGTGTCGTCAGATCATTAAAGATGCTCTGTCTGTCTACTGTAAAAATTGGTGTAAACGTGAAAAATCTGATAAAAAATCTCTAGACAGTTATTTTAATAAAATTATGAATACTGTTAATATTCGTATATCTCATTTTGAAAACAATTCTGAAATTAGTAATAGGGTCCATGATATTCCCATTTCCAGAATAAAAAATAAACTCCAAGTACTCGCAAAGCGGTTTGTGTTCGTACCGGCAGACAAAGCAGCAAATAATGTAGTGGTGGTGTGACGCATATACTACACGGAAGTTCTCCAAAACGAAATTACAAATTCATCTACATTCAGATCCGTACGCTCCACAGAGAGTCAAATTGTAAACAAGCATATCACTGCCACTACCCAGCTTAAGGCCTCTTCCGAACATTTGAAAGTCCCTACTATGTACTGGTTACCTAAATTGCACAAAAAACCATTTGAATTCCGTTTCATCTCCGCATCTAGTAAGTGTTCTACTACTAATCTATCAGTGCTTCTAACTACCTCCCTTACTACTATCAAAGAACTTGTTATTAACTTTTGTAATAAAGCTTATGAAAATAATGGCATTAATTATTTTTGGAGTGTTAAAAATTCTTTAGAGGTTTTAGATAAAATACATGCTTTTGATGGTCCTTTTAATTCTGTTGACAGTTATGATTTTTCTACTCTCTATACTACACTTCCACACAATCTTATCAAGAAAAAGTTTTCATATTTAATTAAATGGTCTTTTGAAAAATCTCATT